CTGGGATATCCCATGGACAAAGGAGTGTGGCAAGCTGCAGTCCATGGGGTCACAAAGAGCCGGACACAACTGAGTGACTGAGCATACACCTAGCCTCTTCACCCGGACATAGACAGTATTGCCATCTGGGGGGGCAGGGAAGGGCATTTCCTTCCATCTTTTTCTGCAGATGCATTTTGTTTTCATCTAAATAGACTCAGGGCAGTATCTCATGCTGCTTTAAATCCTACTCAACAGAGTTATACAAACATGTCCTTACCTTTAAATATTCTTACACGAGTCATGGCTAATGGCTGTAGGTGTAGCAGCATCTGGAGGGGCTGTGAGTTTCTCACCTGCCCTCTCTGGACGGTGCTGGAATGTATGATGGACACACCTGAGAGGTGTCCTGTAAGAGCAGAGACATGGAGGTCCACAGTTGGGTGTGGGGTGGGTGTGAAACAGTGGGCATCCCAGGTTATTCCCCTGCAGCTAGCATCAGAGCACGTGAGCGTCTTTGAGTCTTCCCCTGAGGGCTTGTTTCAGAGGTGGGGTGGTCCCCTGGGGGTCGAGAGCAGAGTGGGCTCAGCCCTTATAAGCAAGGATTAGAGAGCTTGAGCTGAAATCCACATGCTGCCATTCTCCACCTGTCAGTAGTCATGTGGTCCCAGCAGCCCCCTTCCGGGGGTGTGCAGACCCTCAACCAAGCTCTGTGGTTGCTGGCGTTTTTGTGTTTTGCTGGGGTAAAATTATGCCTGGGTGCTCATGTGGAAAGAATGCCGGCCACTCTGGATCTGACACAATGACAGGTTCCAAGCCACCACTCTGACCGTGGGGTGGCTGTCGGGGTTGACCGCCCCCCCCCGCCCACCGCCCCTTCCCTTGTAGGCATTGGAGGAGCCTTGGAGGCGGGGTGGAGCGTGATGCTGATGCTCTCGTTCTGTGGTTGGGATTCAGGATGCCAGGCCGGACTGGAGGGAGGGACCTGTTTTCTTCAGTCACACAGTGAGATGGGGCCGGCTCTTCTCCAGTGAGGGCTCCTTCCCCCAGGCCAGACTGCCTCAGATGTACCTTGCAAAGCATGGAGGCAGGTATTCAAGTGAATGAGATGCCGGAAAGGAGACTGTTAGAGAAGGAAGGACCAGATACCACTGTGGGTCCCTCCACACCGGGAGAGCGTCTGTGGTCTTCTCTGTGACCCATCCATGGCAATGGGTCATTTCATTTGTTTTTAAGTGTCAAGGCCTTTGATCCACAAAGGGTTTGGCCGACTCTCAGGAAACCTGAAAATTAATCCTCCTCTGTTCGTCCATTCTCACTAACTAGAGATTTCACTTTAAAAGTTTCATTGTGTTTGTAATGTGACATGCAGGATACTTAGTCCAAGAGGCCAGCCAGAAGCTACCTGTTCTCCTGAAATTTCTATTATGAGGTGTCTCAACTGAATGTGCCTTTGCTTTGCACTTGGGAGAAATGGCTTTTTTTTTTTAATGATTGATAGTTTGGAGACTGCTTTCTCTTTCTTCACACTCCTATGCCCCAGAGCACCCCTTCATTGGAGGCGTTATTCCCTCTTTACAGATGGGGAAACTGAGACCCTGTGAGGTTATGTGCTCAGTCACTCAGTTGTCCTTCTCTCTTCAACCTCATGCACTGTAGCCCGCTAAGCCCCTCTTTTCTATCAGATTTTCCAGGCAAGAATACTGGAGTGGGTTTTCATTTCCTCCTCCAGGGGATCTTCCCAAAGCAGGGATTGAACCCGCATCTCTTGCGTCTCCTGCATTGACAGGTGGGTTCTTTACCACTAAGCCACCAGGGAAGCCCTAAGTAGCTACTAATGAAAGGTAGAACTGACATTCACTCCCTGTGTTGGCTTTTGATGGAAAAATTGTGTCCTGCTGGTGAGGGATGGTGCTGTCCCTCCTGACCCACCCTTCCTTGTAGATGGGGAGACAGACAGGTGTGAATCCTTCTTGTCCACCTGGCAGAGAGAGGGCTCTCCAGGAGACATGCCCTGGGTGCTGAGTGCTTACCTGAGAGCAGGTGATGGAGACAGTACTCGGGGCAGAGGCAGCTGGGAAACTCCCAGAAGAGAGCAAGTTGGGCCCTGACTTGAACGAGTAGGATTGGTCCTGGGGCAGTGGCCATTTCCAGGAATAGGGGGACTTGGAGAGCTAAGGCGTGGGGGTCACAGAACCACACATTTGGGAGTGAGTGATGGGGGAAGAGAAGGCATGGTGGGGGTCGGATAGCAGAGGCAGGTGGGCAGATTTTGAGAGGCCTCTTTCAGAAACGAGGTCTTTCTGAATGAGAGGCTCTGTGGTTTTGAATTCCAGCTCCAAGACTGAGCTACAAGGCCTTGGGTAGGGATCTCACATTTCTGGAGCCGAGGTTGCTGTCTGTGAAAGGGGGTGAGCGTGGAAGGACAGGTTATCTCTCCATCCACCGCAGCAGGGCAAACAGCAGGACCCTCCTCCTGGGCCAGCCCTCCCCACCACCACCCCGCACCCCCAGGAGAAATCGGTGGGAATTGCTGAGAAGGGCACATTCCAGACATGCTTGTTGCGTTGTTAGTAGTGATAGAGGATCCCTGGTGTAAGTCAGCCCTCTGAAGGCCAGCTGCCTTCTGCCACTGCAGGAAGGTGGCCCTTGATTCCAGAGCAGTGGGAGCCACAGGAGATGGTGAGGTCAGACGTGACTCCACGTAGTTTGTCTCGGACGGCCGGGGACCCGCACAGCTGGGTTCTGTCTGCCGAATCCGTGGCTGACTTTCCCCGCCCCCCTGCAGCTGGCCGCCTGCCCACTGGGCCTGCCTGCCCGTCTACCCAGATGATGGATTTCACAAAATTTGCCTCTTTGTTTGGTTCCCGGAAGCCTGGCCTTCGGGAACAGCACTGAGCCCTGCATTGGTTTCCAAGCAGAGATCCGTGTGGCTTGATGCGCTTTTGGTTCGCAGCCAAGGGGATGTTTTAAAATAAGTGCTCCGTCCCTCCGAGGGAGGCGTGCCCAGATTGAAATCTCCAGGGTCCTTTGGTGGATGAAGGTCCAATCTCTGGGACACAGCCCTAGCTGGGAATGATGCAGATGTGGATGTGTAGCCCCGGGGAAGTGGTGTGGCCCCTGGGGCCTCCTCTGATTCTTCCAGTGACGGCGGTCTCTAGGCACGCGTTAGATACCCACTCCTGTAGGCTTGGGGGAGCCGAGCTGGGCACTTTGGATACCTGGGAAGCTGGCCCTTCTGGTCTCTGATTTCATGTAGTCCTCACAGTACCCCCGTTTACAGTCAAGGAAACTGAGGGGCAGAGAGGAACGTGGCCCGCTCATGACCCTAGAGCTGGCAGGCACAGTGGCTGTGATGGGTTAGTCTGGGAGCCGGATTCCTCACTCCCGGCCTTTCCCCGCTCTTCTCTCATTTTTTCATCTCAGCGAAGAGGGTGGACGTGGCCTTGAGGCTGGGGTGGGGGCCGTGGGATCCTTGGGGACCCCTGGCACAGTGCACACAGTCCTATCTGCTTCAGCGTCTGTGTCCACGGAAGCCCACCGCCGGTCCCCAGGGCCCCGGTTTGGGGTCCTGAGGCTGGGGAAGGCCTGGAGCTCTCAGCCCCATAGTCTGGGGCTTGTGGTCACCCCCAGTTGTGTCATTGGTGATTTTCGCCTTGTTGCTAAATAGCGGTATTGACTAATCGAGCCCTTTGCCCCCGTTGGTCATCGGATCTCTATGCTTGCCAGTCTGTTCCCATCATCAGTTCCGACACACCAGCCCCCCGGTTTCCATCACCCACATCTAGCATGGGCTCATATCCGGTGCTGTCAGGCTCGCTGAGTCGTGTCTTGAGGTTCAGGCCTGGCGTGGAGGGCTTTGGAGTTGCCCAGGCCTGACCACATTCTGCTCCAGGGGCTGTGTTCCCCCCGCACCTGTCTTCCACCCCCTCTTCCTCTCCCCCTTTCCCTCCCTCCCTCTGCTTCTCATGTTTATGTTTTTTTTAATATTTTATTATTCATTTATTTGGCTGTACCAGGTCTTCACTGAGGCATGAAGGATAATTTTGTTGCAGCGTGTGGGATCTAATTCCCTGACCAGGGATCGAACCTGGGCCCCCTGCATTGGGAGCTCAGAGTTTTAACCACTGGACCACCAGGGAAGCCCCTCTCAAGTTTATTTTAAACTTCTACTTTGTGCCAGTGTATTCTTTTCCTAGGGCTCTAATAAGAAATTGACAGAAACTTGGTGGCTTTAAAGAACAGAAATTTTTTGTTTCGCAGCTCTGGAGGCAGCAGTCCGCAATCAGAAAGTCGGCGGGGTTGGTTGTCCGGGGGGCTCTGCGGGAGAGTCCTTCCTTGTCTTTCCTGACTTAGGGTGCTGGTGTCTCTGGGCCTGCAGCCACATCTCCGACCTCTGCCTCCTCCTCCACGTGGCACCCTCCTCTCTGTCTGTTACCCCCGTATACGTACCCCGGTCCTTGGATTAGGGCCCACCCTAAGCCAGGATGCTCTCTTGTCAAGATCCTTGATTATAATCTGCAAAGACCCTCATCTTCCAAATAAGGTCCCCTGCACAGATTTTGGGTGGACAGACTGGGAGACCAGCTTCATTCCAGCGCAGCCAGATGCTGTGCCCAGGGCTCCGTGTGGACCATCTCACTGAATCCCCCTGACCTTCCACATCCCCATTTCTCAGATGAGCACACCCGAGGCCCGGGACTCAAGGCCTGGAGACTGAGGGCCCAGCTCATGACTGCTGTGGGACCTGCCGAGCCAGCAGGCCTTGAGCGAGTTTCCTCCCTCAGTTTCCTCATCTGTGAAATGGAAGTGTCTTTGGGGGAGCTGTCGTGAGGTTGAGTGAGATCACATGGAATGCTGGGCAGCGCCCACCCTGTTTTCCCTTTGCCGTCTCATCTCTCCACCAAAAGCTAGAGGCTAGGGCAGCCTGGGTTCGACTGGCTTTGTGTGTTTGACCCCCTGGTTTTTCTCGCCTCAGGATGGCTTCCAGCGCCTCTCCTCCGAGCGCCCCCGTCCCCCAGCCTCTGCCGCCACCGCAGCCCCAGGCCCGCTCACGGCTCAATGCCACCACCTCGGTGGAGCAGGAGATCAGCGGGGCGCCCCCCACTCCTGGACCCCAAGTTGGACCTGGATCAGATGGGAGAGACCCAGCCACCCCGGCTATACCCCAGGCCTCGCGGGCCAGGAGCCGAGAGAGGATGGATGGAACAGGTAAGGGACGGGGCCTGGGATGCCAGACTGTCCTCCCCTGGGGGGTGGTGTTCTGTAGGCAGCGTGGACACCTGGGTCCTGGCACGTGGTCCAGATACCCCTGCAAGGTTCCTTCCACAGGTGGGAGTCCCCTGAAGTCAGGGGCCCAACCACTCCACCCAGGCCTGTTGACTCCCACTGCCCAGCAGGATTTGCTCCCAAGTTCACAGACTTGGGCTGCAGCAGATGTCTTCCTTTATTTATCATCGAATGCACCAGCTCCCACCTGCTCAGGGACTCGGCAGATGGTCTGCACCAGGCTCTGTGTGGTGGGAGGTGGCCGGAGGCAGGCTCCTCTCTGGTACGCCCCAGCACTCAGGGCGGCCCACATCATCATCATCCCTTGTCCACCATGGCCACTTCTCAGGTGGCCATTCGGTCAGGTCGCTCTGCCTGGTCTGGGGGCCCCATGTGGCCACTCCCCTTGGAGCCTGGCTGACACCCTGGAATTCACCTGGGCCCCTGGCCCAGGTCCCCGCTGCCCTCTGGACCACTGTCCTCCATGCCCAGGCCTGGCGCCCCGCAGGTTTCCAGTCTGTCCTTGGAAGCACTTCTCAGGGGCCGAGATGAGACAGTGTGAGGCCCCAGGTGGGCTGGGACCGCTGGTTCTCGTGCCGGCCGCCTCACTGACATTGGGGGAGGGTTGCCAGGGTTTGGTCAGTCCACCTGCTGCTCACTGAGCACAGCCTTCTGCCAGCCTGAGCGGCCATCAGTGGCACAGGTGAGCCCTGCTTCTGAGGGGTCCACACTCTCGTGGAAGCACGGGGCCTGGGGAGCACAGAGGTGGCCCTGGTGCGGGCTGGGGAGGGAGCTGGGCGCCTGCCTTGGGAAGAGATGGTGCCTGAGCAAGTTGGAGCCTGTGGGGGGAGAGAGCACAGCTCGGGCAAGGGCCAGAGGGAAGAACTGGCCTCGCCTGGGGTGGGCTTGGCCTGGAGAGAGCCCTGGACCTCCCAGGTCACGGGGTGGAAGGAAGGAAGGAGGGATCGGAGTGGTGATGCTCATGTGTCAGGCTTGCAATTGAGCTATAGCAGGAGTGAGCCGGGTCAGGACGAGGCAGCAGGCCATCACAGGAGCTGTCCTGAAAGTTTCTTTTGCGCTTCGGGGGCTGTTGTAGGTAAAAAGCCTCAAGCCTTGCTGTGAGTTTCATAAAAGCAAGGATCCCTGGGTCTCCAGCTGTGATGTTTGGGGAAAATATAGCTGGCATCAACATTACTTTTTCTAATAACCCACGCAGTGCTTCTCAGTATGTCTGTCTTATACTCACAGTGACCAACCCTGTGAAGTAGGGGCCTTGGCTTCCACTGTAGGTACAGTGATCAAAACAGAGCCCGCTGGGGACACGAGCTCCAGGGGTGGTGAAAGCCCCGCGGCTCCTCTTCGTGGCTCACCGCCTGTTAGACTTTCTGACCTCTGCCCACAGTAAGAAATACATGTACCGTAGTCATAACCTGGCGCCCACGCCCACGTGCCTGCATGCACACAACACACACACGCACACGCAGTGGGAATGGACATTTCCAAAACAATACTTGCCTTTACTGTGTGCCTGGCTGTCTGGTAAGCCTCCATGCTCTTGCTTTTATGTGCAAACAAATGCTGCTTTGGGCAGTTCAGTTGGTTCTGTGACCTGGCTTGACGTCTGCAGTTTGAAAACTGCTCTCTGGTTTGGCGCCAATGTTGGTTTCCTGCCCACCCCGGCCGGGACGCCGGAGCTCGCGTCTCTCCATAGGAGCTGTTTATGTATGGAGCATCCGGGCCCACGAGGTGGTGCAGGAAGGGCAGAGATAGCCGGGGTGGGACGCTTGGCTGGGCTAGCGACCTTGAGCCATGTGCCCTCCAGGGAGTCGGGAGGCCTCGCTGAGACGGTTTCTGTAAAGTCAGAGCAGCCATGTGGAGCCTGCATGCCGGGACCTCGTGCTCATCAGCCCGGCGCGTGGGACGCGGTGCTGAGTCAAGGCCTCTGGTCCCTTAGGTGCCTGGGTGGTGGTGCGGGGGAGCGGGTCCGTGCCTCGAGCTGCAGAACCTGATGTGCTGCGTGGGTGTCATCAAGCCTCCTCCCCCCCCCACCCCTTCCTCTTCAGGCCCCTCCTGGGGTGTCGCCATGCACGTTGAGGCATCTGTCCAGTTTTAGGGCCCCACCCAGTCCCTCTTGGGTGACCAGCCTTAACCTCGGCTTCGGGCCCTGTGTGTCTGCACGCAGGGGCTTCGTGTGAGTGTCAGGCTCTTCTCTCCCCCTGGGAGGCTTGTGCTGCAGACTGTGCGTGTGTGCACATGTGCATGAGCTTTCTCGTGTCTTGCACCTCCGCAAGGGAAGATGCCATGACTTTTGTGGTCACAGGGTCCTCCTCTCCCCCAGGAGATCTGTGTGAATTAAGGGGGTCCCAGCCCCACCCCCCCCTTCTTCTGCTCACTCAGCCTTGTTTCGTTTTTCCCCTTGAGAAGCAGGCTGCCTGAGGTGACCACCCCCAGCTCAGCATCACCACTGCTCTGTGCAGAGGTCCCAGACCCGTGGTGGTGACACCTGCCAGGTGCTCTGTGGACCGGAGGCTTTACGTGACCTCTTACGGCAGCCCAAGAGGGAGGCTCTGTCCTTGTTCCCATTTAGAGACCAGGAAACTGGGCCCCTGACTTCCCAGAGTGGCCAGCACTGGGTGATGATGAGTGCGGGGTGACCCCAGTCTCCTGTCCCATGAGGCCCCCTGCCCCCAGCGGAGCTGCAGGGACCTCCGGACTCTGGACGTTGAGCCAAGCCTGAGCTCCCCGTGCAATTGTGCAGGACTAGTGCCCACCTTACCCTAGAAACACACCCACTGGGCCCTTCTGAGCTCCGCATCTCCTTCAGAGATCTCTGCTTTGTCTCCAAGGCCTTCGGGCAGACCCGGGCCTGATCCGGAATCTCGGTCCAGCCACAAACACCACCCCGCAGCTGCAGGGCATGGAGACCTGGGCTGGAAACATGCTTGGTTTCAATCTGGGTGAAGCGAAACAGCCTCAGAGGACAGACCGAGTCAAGACTGCCGGTTTCAGATAAGGAGAGTCAGGAAACAGATGTGGTCTCCATTGGCTTCTGTCCCCGAGGGGAGGGGCAGAGAGTACTGAGCGAGTTCTGGGCAGGTTGGCAGCCTTGGCTCCCGACCCCACATGTCTGGGCTGTGCTGTGTCCCTCTCCTGTGCCGTCACCATTGCGGAATTGAATACAGCAGACCCCGCCCTGCCAGCCCTGCACAGCCCAGAGATCATCTACCCAGGGAGGGATTGGGGTTAGTTTTAATTAACTCCCCTGTCCACCTAGCAAAGTTCTGCTGAGCATCAGTCAAGTAAGTAACAGCAAGAGGAAGATGACATAGCACTTTCCAGGCTAGGCATCACCTGTGGTGCTTGTCTATGTTAACTCACTTCTCCAGCCACGTCCAGTTCAGTTCCATTCAGTCGCTCAGTCGTGTCCGACTCTTTGTGACCCCACGGACTGCAGCACGCTAGGCCTGTCCATCACCAACTCCCGGAGTCTACTCAAACTCATGTCCATTGAGTTGGTGATGCCATCCAACCACCTCATCCTCTGTCGTCCCCTTCTCCCACCCTCTATCTTTCCCAGCATCAGGGTCTTTTCCAGTGAGTCAGTTCTTTGCATCAGGTGGCCAAAGTATTGGAGTTTCAGATTAATCATCAGTCCTTCTGATGAATATTTGGGACTGATTCCCTTTAGGATTGACTGGTTTGACCTCATTGCAGTCCAAGGGGCTCTCAGGAGTCTTCTCCAACAGCACAGTTCAAAAGCACCAATTCTTTGGTGCTCAGCTTTCTTTATAGTCCAACTCTTACATCCATACATGACCACTGGAAAAACCAGAGCTTTGACTAGACGGACCTTTGTTGGCAAAGTAATGTCTCTGCTTTTTAATATGCTGTCTAGGTTGGTCATAGCTTTTCTTCCAAGGAGCAAGCATCAGGGGCTAAGTAGAAGACCCCAGGCTGCCAGCCGGTGAGGGGTCAAGTCGAGATGGAACACAGTCTGCGAGTCTGTGCTCAGCCTCCGTGGTGGCCTCCGGTGGCGGTGGTGACCACAGATGGAGCTCTGGAGTGCCCAGGGCCCTGGGCCTGCCTTCTGCATCGCGGCTCAGAGCAGCGCCCTGGGTACCAGCACAGCAGAGATGGCCGGGGTTGGAGCGCAGGCTGGTCTTCAGACTCGGGGGTGAAGGCTCAAGGGGAGAGAGAGACAGAGGAACCAAGTAACTCTGTCCTTGGTGGGGAGCGCCCGGCAGGGACCATAGTGCCCTCTCTACTGATGTCAGTGGGTTGCAGGGTTCACAGGCTCTCAAGAGTGCCAAGTCCACAAAGCCGCAACGTTCTGAGTGCGGGGCTGGCACTTGTTTAGGCGGCTGCAGGGCTGCAGACAGGAATGGGGGCTGGAACCCCTGGTGGGGGTTCCGTTTGCCAGGAAGCATTCACCCCGGTGCTAACTGAGGGCCTGCCCAGCGGGTGAAGGAGATGGTGGGCAGGGCCTGCAGGAGGGAGACCCCAGGTCAGCGAAGGGAGCCCCAAATGGTGCAAGACACAGGGCATGAAGAGCTCCAAGGTTGATGGCTCTGGGCAGCAGTTGGACGTGGGGTCACGAGGTCAGAGAGTCTCAAGTAGGGCCTCGAGGGTTAGGGTAAGGAGAATGGGTGTTCTGGGGAGCGTTAAAGCCTTTAAATGAGAGGAGCAGCGTGACTTCTGTTATATGGAGATGACTGTGGACAACCATGGGAGCTGAGGCCAGTGTGGCAAGGCAGGGCAGTGGGTGGGCTGCGCTTCAGGGGAGCTAGACTGATTCCAGGCCTCTGGCTGGAGCCATCAGGTGGGCCTGGGGGGTGGGCAGGCAGTTTCGAAGTGGGGTTCAGAGCTGGATGGCGGGAATGGGCCCCGAGGAAGGCCGGGAGGTGATGGGGTGAGGGGGTGGATGCAATGCGCTGCCTCCCTGCTGCCCTGGGGGCAAGTCACAGCCATAAACACTCAGTTTCTCCTTGTCCGGTGGCGGTGCTGGCTTGATGATCTCGGGAGCTCTGTACCTGGATTATTTATCCTGATTCTGATGGAAGCCCTGGTCTGGCTGGTTGTCGTAGCATTCCTGTGACCCCCTCACTGTCGTGAGGACAGTTGGCTGGGGCAATGAGGCTGTCTCAGGTCTGGTGGCTTCCTGAGACCTCAGGAAACTGGTCAGTATGCCCTTCATCCCTTACCTTTCCCCTCCTCTTTGCATTCCGAGTCATAGGCGTCACCTCTTCTGAAAAGCCTCTCCCATCAGGATTGATGACTCCCGGCACCTCCATAGATTCCCCTGAGCCTGCCCTGTTGGACTGTGGCTGTCCTTGCTGGGCCCCTGGGTGGGTAGGGAGAGTGGGGGTTCCTATGTCTTTCAGCTCAGTGCCCTTGGCTCCCGGCACCCAGACTGGTCCAGAGCTGGTGCTCGGTAAATGTCTGCTGGGTGAGTGATGAGGGGTGAGGTCCATGACCCCCGCTTGGGCCCACTGGGACCCCCCCCTGGCTGGGACCTCCACCTTAGAGCTCAGCCAGGCCTCTGGGAGAGATGGGGTCGCAAGGCTTGCCCTTCCTGTGTGTTCATGAGAACCAGAGTCAGCATCTCGAAGGCTGATGGGGCACCCCCGGGTGCAGGGTGACCCAGCTGCCCACAGTGATGAGAAGGACACACGGGATGCCCTTGGATTCTTGTCACCTTTCCCTCAGCTCAGCCCATGCGGCAGGCATCAGGAGAGGACTGGGGACTCTGGGAGACCAAGGCCTTGCCCTGGGGCCAGCGAGCAAGGATGTAGAAGGGCAGCAGCCCCGAGAGACGGGAGCGTAACAGTTGCTCACTGCGTGTTTCAGATTGTGCTCTTCTTCTCAGAGCCTTTGGCATGCATTCAGCAATTTAAACAATGCGCTCCAGCCAATCTAGATTGCAGCGGCCGGGTGAAACTGGAAGCCAGCTTCTCTCTCTTTCTCCCAGCCGGCTCCGGGAGAACTTGGTGGGCATCAAGGGGCTGACAGAGCCCTCGGGACTGCTGGGAAGGGGGTGCCTGAGGCTCCCCAGCCTACGGGCCCAGGGTGGTCCTGAAGAGTGGGAACGTTTGACTTGCTCAGTACTCATCCTTGTCCATTTCTACTTAGAACCTGCTCAGATCAGGAAGGTGAGCCTGGCAGTTCAATTCCCAGGCCACACGTGTTCCAGGCGCCGTGTGAGGATTTGGGGAGACAGCTGGAGACCCTTCCCTTGTTGGTCCCCCATCCATTCATCCCTCTGTCTGTCCAGCACTTGCTGATCTATGTCCTGCCCCAGGGGATGGAGATGGGCCAGACCTGCTGGTCACAGATTGTCTCCATTAAAGGAATGTGGGGCCGTGAGAGACGCAGGAACGCGGAGATGGACTGAACCGGGGGAGGGGACAATTTCCGGGGCTCTCCTTTCATTTCATGGCAAAATGTCAGGCTATGAATAACTTCTGTGGAAAATTAATCATGGACAGAATAATCTTTTTGCTTGAATCTTCCATGACCTTGGACTTGCGATTTCAGTGGGTCAGGAAAAGAGCTGTGAACTCGCAGGAGGTACCTGGTATTGAACTGGGACATGTGGCCTCAGTGATCCAGGGAGGCCCTGGGTCAGCAGAGGGAGGTAGGGCATGGAGTAGGGAAGGGGATGCACCCTGAGAACACCCAACTCTTGACCAGCACCTAATCCCAAGTGTCCCATTCTTCACTAATAGTCCTACTGGCTGGATATTGACGATGGGATTGGAAATGAGTCTCGCACGGTCACACAACACTTTGATGCTGTCAACTGAAAAAAAAAAAAAGCACAACCTAAAAGTTGAGAATTATGTTTTATTTGGTGGACAAAATTGAAGACTTAACCCTGGAACACAGCCTCTCAGATCTCAGATTGCGCTGAAATACTGCTCCCAAGAGACAAGGGAGGAGCCAGGATACACAGGAGTTTTTGCAACAAAGATCAGGTGGTCAGAACATCAATAGAGTCCTGTTAATTAAAGAAAACCAGATATCTTGAGTTAGGGAATTTAGTGCTTTTCTGTGTATGGGGAAGATGCAAGAGTCTGGGCTCACGGAAATCATTCCTTTGATCTGCCCCTCAGCCCTCTGAGGTCAGTATCCTGTGCTTTCTCATCCTGTGTCTCCCCAGAGCGCATGGCAGGAGGGACTGTCACATCCTTTGTTTCCTGATAGATGCTCCATCACTCAGTTGCATCTGACTCTTTGTGACCCCATGGACTATAGTCCACTGGGCTCCTCTGTCCATGGAATTTTCCAGGCAAGAACACTGGAGTGGGTTGCCATTCCCTTTTCCAGTTTACCGATAGGGTAGCAATGTTCTTTCACTCCTAAGGCTCAGAGTGCTAAAGGCAGATTCACACTTGGGTCAGATTTCTCTAACCCCACACCCTCCTTCCCTGCCCTCCTCTCTGTTCTCTTAGTCTGAGCCCTTGGCCGGAAAGTGCATTCCAGGGCCGGCAGAGGGTGTGACAGCGGCCAGAAGGGAGGTCTGACCTTGATGACTAAGAAGCACCGGGGTCCGAGGTCCGGGGCCACTGGGCTGGAGTGGCTGTCCTGGGCCCAGGGCCTCGGTGAGGAAGCTCAGCAGGGGGACCTCTACAAGGGGCGGGTATCATCATGTTTGCACACCGTCCACCAAGAGGGGCGCGGTGCAGGGGCCTGACCTGTGAGTCTCAGGAAGAATCTTCCCCTTTGAGCCACCCCCAGCCACCCTCTCCCGCTCCCGCGTGCTCCAAACTGGATGTGACCGCTCTGCCTTTGAACTTCAGAGCTGTGTCACTGTAGGCCCCTGCCCTGCTGCCTCCCAACTGGGCCTGGGGGATGTGTAGACTCAGTCACCCTGCACAGAGGGGCTAACTCTGAGCCTGTGGACGGAGCCGGTCCTGGGAGAGGTCTGGAGGAACGGGTTGGGATGGCTAGACATCCAGCACTGTTCCTAGGGACGGCTCTTATTTCCCTGCATTCTGCCTTCCGTTTCCAGAAGTATCTAGGGATCGAGAGACTGTTAACCCCAGATAAGCACCTGCTAAGATGGGAGGTGATCATTGGTGGAGGCAAAGTGTGGTGTCGGGCATAGGCCCCCTGTATTGGTTACTTAAACCAGAAAAAGGTACCGGTGAAAAGTGATTTAAAAAAAAACAAAACACTTTTTGTTATGCTATGCACTGCAGGAGAGGTTGTAGTGAAATCAGTTACATGAAGCTTTTGTAACTTAAGATAACATTTTATGAAGTAAATATTGCACGAGGTATGTGATATTTGGACCCTTGGATCAAGTAGTTCACCTGAAAAACCCATACCAGGAGAATGCCCCCCAAATAAAAATACACCCACAGATTGGTTTGTGGCATCATTTTATAAAATTAGGGAGTCTAGGAATAATCTAAAGGTCCGATGGAGAGGAGAGGCCCAGAGGCCCTGAGCGTCCCCTCAGTGGGATTTCTGAGCCACTGAAGTCATACATTTCATTGCAGAGCCACATGCAAAGTTGGTTGTGATTCAATATTGCAAATATATATGTGTATATTTCAAAATGTATGTACTGTGAGTATGACCTCCCAAAGTCAATCGTGTGTAGATGACTGTCTTGGAAAACATAGATTTGTTTATTGGGATGCTTGGCATTGGGGTGCAGGTTCTTTAAATCATTAAATAAGGAACCTCAGGATCTTTCATTCCATCTCTTGCATCTTTCTAGAGCCCTGTTCAAGCCTCAGATCAGCCACTCTGGCTGCAGTGAGCCCTGGGGGTGACGGTGGTTATTCGTCTGGCCCCGCGCGTTCCTTGTGCCTGGAACAGGGGTTCCTTCCTGGAACCCCTCAGCAGCTTTGTGGTCCTTGCTCCCTGACTGTGCAGCAACGGAGGGAGCATTCTGGCGGCTCCTCTCCACACCTGCTCTCATGCTCCTGACTTGGGGCTGAAGCCCGTTCCTGCCAGCCCCTCTTGTCCTCCGACAAACGACAAGGACCAGCATGGTGACCGTCCATCTGCTTGCTTCCCTGTGTTAAAGGACCTGCGAAGGGAGATGTGGACACCCCCTTTGAAGAAGTCCTGGAGAAGGCAAAAGCTGGGGACCCCAAGGCACAGACGGAGGTAAGGACCAGTGTCCGTGGGGAGGCTCGGGCTGCAGTGCCCTCAGCTTGGGGGGCCCGGGACAGGTTGGTGCTGACCGTGCTAGTGGGCGTGGGTGCAGCCTGCCTACACTGCCACGTGCGGGCCCCCATTTGTGGTGTTTCTGTGTTTGTGATGTGTTGCTTTTCTTCCCACCACCCTCCAGGGAGCATGTATGTGTTCACCTCTGTCCAACTCACTCCTGAACTTGGGCATCACCTCCTCTGATGCCAGCCCTGCCTCCCGCCTGTCCGCATGCCCCCACCCCGTCTCTCATCTCATCAGTGGGGGTTGGAGTCCCCACACCCCGCTCTGGCTGGGAGCAGCGGGCGGACAGGCTGAGGAGCCCGAGGTTGCCTGGCTCTGGGCGGGGGCCAGGCAGGACGTGGACTGGGGCCTGGGTGCGGCACGGGGGCTGGAGGCCGCTGCAGAGTGTGGTGTGACCAGATCCTGCTTGCAGGTGGGGAAGCACTACCTGCAGCTGGCCGGCGACGGGGATGAAGAGCTCAATAACTGCACCGCCGTGGACTGGCTGACCCTCGCTGCCAAGCAGGGCCGGCGCGAGGCCGTCAAGCTTCTCCGCCGATGCCTGGCAGACAGAAGAGGTAGGTGACGAGGCTTGGAGGGACCCACGAGGGATGCTGTACTATTCTGCTAAAGTAACAACCGAAATAGCAACAGGGAAACCTGGTGCTGGCGACGCTGTTAGAAAATGAGTGTGGTTTCTGTTGCACTCGTGGCTTTGCCGTGTAGATGATGGAGTGTAACATGGGATATGTAGGAACAAAGCCATTTTCATCCTCTTTAACTTGTGGTGGGGTCTACAAGGAGATATACCATCTGGGTCCTCATCCAAATTGAGGAGTAGACCGTGGAGCCAAGTTGGAGGGCATGACAGGACCGAGGTTGGAGTGGCCCTTTCTGAACTGACTTTCCATCTAGTCTGAGCGGAGCAGCTGGGAACTGGGGGCCAGTGAAGGGGCCGCCCAGGCTAGCACTCGCTGCAAGGATGGGCATGGGGGTTGGAGGGCAGTGATGTGTAGCCTGGCCACTTGTGGACACTTACTGTGTTATCCTGCCCAAGGGAAGTGGTTCATTCCTGGTTTCAGGGAAAAGTACTTCCAGAAGGTTCAAACCTCAGAAGAAAGGTGAAAGTGTGTGTGTCATAAAGGGGGCTTTTTTTTTAATCCCGCTCAGATTGCAGAAGTGTTTACAGTTGTTATAGAAAACTTGAACTATATAGAAAACATAAAGATAGAAATTATCTTTAAAAATTATCTTGAAATCCAGAGAGAAGTGCTCCGTAGTTTACTGTTTTTCCTTCTGGTTTTGTATTGGAATTTTTTTTTTAAACATTAAGGTTATTATCTAGATATATATAAAACAAAATTTATATTCATTATTTTTATGTACATATATATTTATTATGTATGTATATATATAAGATATATATAGAAATGATATTTATTAACATTATTTATTATTGTATAGAATCTCCTTTCTCTGGACATTAGGCTGATGTCTTTAATGACTTAGAATGGTCATGTTCTGCTGGCCAGAATTTCTTACCAAGCCAGCCTCCCTTGCTCCAGGGCAGGTGGGATGGTCTTGCACTGGCCAATTGAGTCACTGTGGCCCCCAGAGTTCACTGTTGGAGCCAGGTGTCTTCCTAGAGGCCCTGAGGGGGCCAGGGCAGATCTGAGGACTGGCCGGCGTGTGAGGGAGGGGGCCTGTTGTGGCCCACACCCTCCACCTTCTCACACTGAATGCTTCCTGATTATACAAGAAACGTGGGCTCCAGTGAAAGGTTAGGGAGATGCTCCAAAGAAGAAAAAAAATATCAGTCCTCCGCCCCCAGTCTCACCGTCCCCTGGGGTGGGGTGGGGTGGGGGCCAGGCTGATGTCCCTGGCAGTCCCTGTGCAGGGGCAAAGGCAGCCGCTAAACAGCCCATGAAACCTGCTCCCCGTCTTTCCGTGGGCGAGCCTTGCCTCTTGGGAAAGGGCCGTCTATGAGGAAACACTGCTCCCGGCTGCCCTTGGAGGGTCTGATGCTGTGAATGTAGGGGTGCCCCCCGTCTTGCAGCCTCCCACTCACTGCAGTGAGACTGGGGTTTGAGACCAGCTCCATCTCTCTGACTCTGTGGCCTTGGCACCAAGTCCGGGCCACCGCCCCTGGGTGCCTCAGTTTCTCCATCTATGAGATGGGAAGAGCAGCACCCCACCAGAGGGGTCCTTGTGAGGGGTCCTCCAACTGGGAGGCTGGAGTGAGCCAGGAAGGTGGGGAGGCCTTGCCCAGCGCCGGCCCTCTGTGTCCACTCGGCGAGTGTCTACTGAAAGGCTGGGCCAAGCCTCCCACCCTTGGGAACTCAGGCCAGACACCCTTCTGGCTGGACATTCGTTTCCACTGTGGTGACGAAGATGCCTGCAAAGTCACTCATGGGAATCGCTTCCCAAGCCCCTTCAGGCGGGGCTGGCCGGGGCTGGCTGGGGCTAGGGCATCCCTGCCAGCTTCTGGGCGGGCGGGCGGCCCCAGGCCTCTGACGCCTCCCTCTCTCAGGCATCACCTCTGAGAACGAGCAGGAGGTGAGGCAGCTCTCCTCTGAGACCGACCTGGAGCGGGCCGTGCGCAAGGCGGCCCTCGTCATGTACTGGAAGCTCAACCCCAAGAAGAAGAAACAGGTGGCCGTGGCGGAGCTGCTGGAGAACGTGGGGCAGGTCAACGAGCATGGTACGCGGTCTGCCTGTGGGGCCTCCTGGGCTTCGGTGCCGTGATCCTGGGGCCGCCTCTGTGGGAGCTGGCATAGGGGGCTCCAGGGAGCTTCTCGTGGGGCCCTTGCAGGTGTCCTGTAAGGCTCTGGGGCGTCCTTCCTGGGTGTCCTGTTCCTGGAGCCCCTCAGGGCGCCCCCCCCTCAGCTCTGGTTCTGTGACTCACTCCATCCCTAGGGTTCTCTCACCTGCTGCCCACGGGCAGAGCTGCAGGGCTTGGCGTGTCTAGGGTGTCCTCCTCCTCCCAAAGGGGACAGGGAGTGGGGGAGGGTGAGAGGTGCGGGCAGCGACCTGGATCCCCGAATCCCCGAGAGCCTCTCCAGGGCTAGCCCCATCGCCAGTCTCGTTGGTGCCCCCACCTCCTAACCCGGTTTTCCGAGCAGGGCACGGGCAGCCGGAAGGACAGATGGCCGGGAGAATGGGCATCCCTGACTGGGTGTGGTCTCTCCATTTCCGGGGTCGGGGCTGACTTTTGTCTCTTCGTAACCTTGAGAAGCACCTGCCCAGGGCTCCACCCAGCTGGCTCCTGCCCCGAGGGGGAGATGCTGGCGGGTGGGGTTGGGGCTGGGGCCACCTGCCGACACATCAGAGAAGATGGGTGGGCGGGCACCTCTGCCCCTTCTCCGGGCAGGACTCTTGTCTGATCTTAGATCCTCTGGGGTCTGACAGAGGCAGCCGTGAGGCCTGGGACTCCAGTGGCAGGACCCCCAAGAGGCATGCTGCCCCTCGTGGAGTCCCAGTGACCCTGCAGGGCCATGTTCCCGCCCCATTCCTGCTGCCCCCTCACCCCCCTCTGGGCTCACCTGGGCTGCTGTGGCCCCTCTCAGTCACAGCGCCCCCCCCACTCGTGTTGTCTCACCCTGTGGTCCAGCCCCTACCTGACCCGACCCTGCAAAGGCTGCCTGGAGCCTGTCATGGGGAGAGCCCAGTGAATGCCTGCTGGGTGTGGGTGTTGGCGGGGGACCGTGTCAATACCTCAGTCCTGGCTCGGTGTTCACCCACTGAACTGACTTCTGCACCAGGGCCGGGGACACAGGAAGGCCTGCCCAGTGGCCCTGGGGAGCTTGGTCTCTTCCAGGGGAAGATCACACCAAGAAACAATGTCAGCAAAGGTGTCCGGGGGCAGGCTGCACTGATCAGAGAGTGTGCTGAGTCCAGGGCTTGGGGTGTGCCCAGCGGGGCCCGAGTCACCTTGTGATGGAGGTTGAGCAGTGGTGGCCCCAAGGGCTGGCCCTTGCACAGCCCTCCAGGGCTGCATGGAGGACACTGACGAGTTTCTAGGGGGTTTGCAGGGGATGGGGCTTCCCTCCTAGCTCAGTTGGTAAAGAATCCGCCTGCAATGCAGGAGACCCCGGTTCGATTCCTGGGTCGGGAAGATCCGCTGGAGAAGGGATAGGCCACCCATTCCAGTATTCTTGGGCTTCCCTTGTGGCTCAGCTGGTAAAGAATCCTCTTTACCTGGGGATTACCTGTGGGAGACCTGGGTTCGATCCTTGGGTTGGGAAGATTCCCTGGAGAAGGGAAAGGCTACCCACTCCAGTATTTTGGCCTGGAGAATTCCACGAAGTGTATAGTCTGTGGGGTCACAAAGAGTCAGACACGACTGAGTGACTTTTCACTCACTCACTGCACGGGATGGGGCAGTCAGCCGGCCTTGACTTTCCCTCGCTCTGTCCCTGCAGATGGCGGGGTGCAACCTGGGCCCGTCCCCAAGTCCCTGCAGAAGCAGAGACGGGTGCTGGAGCGTTTGGTCAGCAGCGAATGTGAGTACGGCCGCCAGTCCTATGCTAGCGACACCTTTGGCCATTCTGTCGCCCCCACCACCCTGGGCATCATGTCTCTGGCCCCCAGGGTCTCAGAGGCTGATGGATCTTCCGTCCAGCCCCACTGGGGCTGTTGGTTGGGTGTCGGTGTCCTGGGCTCTGGGATTTGGACCCCACCCACTGGGAGCATATACACTGGAGGGACAAGAGGGCAGTATAACTGTCCCTGATGGAGAAAGAAGGTGGGGGCTGTGATGGCTGGGGGTGGGGAGGTGGGTAGCCTGCGAAGGGCAAGGAGGTGGATGCTCCAGGCTGAGTGAGCGAACCTCATTGGCAAAGGCCCTGGGGGCACCCAGCTGGGAGTGGGGGCTGCCCTCAGCATGGGCTGTGAGGAGGTGGGGATGTCAGGCTGAACTTGGGGGTGGGGGGTAATGAAAGTTTGAGCACATGCCTGGCACATAGTAGGCCCTTGGAGGATGTGTGTTGGCTGGAGAGGCTAGTAGGTGGCTGGGCTGCACGGGTCAGGGCCGAGGGGGTAAGGGGGTCAGAGCAGCACGGGTGGAAAATGTTCTGAAGAAGGGTCTGCACGGAACCTGGTTCAGGCAGACCCCCAGGGCTTGAAGGGGGAGGGTTGGGGAGAGGGACGCTTTAGGGGAGGGACGGCGGGGTCCCCAAGGCAAGAAGGCCTCGGCAGGCCTGCCTGCCTCTCTCTCCTCTCATCGTCCGGGCCCGAGAGGGGTCGCCCGACTCCGGCCTGACCCTGGCACAGCTGCTGCCCGCCGCATGCCCACCTCCACGGGCTGGCGGTGCTCGCGGTCTCGCCAACCCCACGTGTATCCTCTCTTGTGCTTCAGCCAAGAGCTACATAGCCCTGGACGACTTTGTGGAGATCACCAAGAAGTACGCCAAGGGCATCATCCCCGCCGACCTGTTCCTGCAGGACGACGATGATGACGAGGTGGCGGGCAAGAGTCCCGAGGATTTACCCCTGCGCCTGAAGGTGAGTCCTCGACCTGGGCCACCTGCTTGCCAGGGTGCCCCCGGGGAGCTGTAGGTGGGAGACCTCGCCCAGCAGGGAACTTCACAGGCTGTGTCGCTTGTCCTGGGGTGGCCCGTGCCCCCAGGTCATCCACGTAACTGCATAAGGACGCGTCCTTGTGAAAGGAAGCCTCCCACACATGCCCAAGATCTGGAGCCAGGGGTCCTGCTGGGGTCGGGCGGGCCCAGTGGTTCCTAGACGTGCACGGTCACCTTCGCATCTTTCCCTGCAAAACGCCGTGTGGGGAGCAGGGTGCCGTACCCTGGAGACCGCTTTCATCTAGACTCCATCCTTCGGAAAGATTGTCCGTTTATGGCCCAGAGGGGAGGTCGGTTCCTCGAAGGTGCCTCCCCCCAAAAGCAAAGTGTGGTCTTGTGTTCAGGAGGGCCCCGCGGTGGTGCCTGTTTATCCGGATCTGCAGGGGTTCTGGGAGTGAGCGGGTGTTGAGAGGGTGGCAGGGGAGGTGACCGAGGGCAACCTGAAGGTGGGTGGGAGCTCGTGTTTGCTCGTCTCCCGCCAGCGAGCAGCTGTGATGACAAAGGACGAGCGCGGCACGTCCAGATCTGTGCCGACAGCCAGGAGTGGCCGCTCGTGCCCCTGGAGTCACAGCTTTTGTTTTCCTGGCCACGTGGTTTGTGACTAAGGGGGCAGATATAAGCCTTGGTGAAGTGTGACCATGCCCCCCCTCCACTGGTTCCCCCAAGTTCAGCTCAGGGGGTTGAATTAGTTATTTGTATTTCCCTTTGCTGAGAGCACTAGGATTTTTAGAAGTCTGGCCACCTGGCCCCAGACAGGTCCATCCCCATGAGTGGCCAAGGGGACCCGGCCAGCACAGGGGTCCTCTGAGCAGACAAAGCATCACAGAGCCCCTGGCATTGGTCCCCCAAAAGTCTGTAGGGTTCTGTGCTTCCCCAGCTCCTGGGCCCATGTGTGACCTGCCCACAGTGCGGTTGGAGTGGGCTGCGGGTGTGTGAGCGGGGTTGGGGCCAGTGATGGGAAGTGTGCTGGTGTGTCCCCATCCCAGACACATTCTCAGCGTAAGCCCCGTACTAGGGGCTGAATATGGAGGCTCAGAAAGCTGCCCTCGTGTGTGGGGAGGCTGCCTCAGGAGCAAGCTCCTTAGAGAAGCTGCAGCCCAGAGGTTGGGTGTGAAGGCCACACTCGGACCTGCGAGCATCCTTAGAGCCCCTGAGGGCAGGTAGGGTGTCGGGGTGAAGGTTCTGAGGCGTGGGGTCAGGACGGCCTAGGAACTCGACCAGGAAGTCACTGCTCTTATTGAGGGCCCACCGGGGGCAGGCCTGGGCTAAGTGTGTTCCAAATGCCATGAGATTTCTTACTAACATGAGAGGAAAGGTGGAGCATTTGCCATGGTTCTTGGCTAAAGAGGAGGTGCCCCCCAAATGCCAGTGAGGGTCAAAGGTGAACGGGTGCTTGAGGGAAGACCCATGGGCCAGGCGGTCCCGGCCTGGACATCCTAGTTTGCGTTGTCCTAGCATAATTACTAATAATACCTGCTTTCGAAAACGTATCAGTTTGGACAGCAAGTTATGTCACGTTCTGTACGGGTGACAAGCTCAGTGCTGTAAGATGTCTGAAACTCCTTTTTGTGAAAAAGAGATTTAAAGTATCCTGACAGGAAATAAGGCTATTTGTTTTGTTTTTACATTTTTTGCAATAGTCGTCAGAGCCCTTCGATTGCTTCACAATTTATCTCATTAAAAGTATTTTTGAGGGCTTCCCTCGTGGCTCAGTGGTAAAGAATCTGCCTGCCAATGCAGAGGACACAGGTTCAGTCTCTGATCCGGGAAGATCCCACATGCTGTGGAGCAACTTAACCCGCAAGTGGAACTACTGAAGCTTGTTCACTTAGAAGCCTGTGTTTCACAACAAGAGAGGCCACTGCAATGAAGAGTAGCCCCTGATGTCTGCAACTAGAAAAAAAAGCCCACGCAGAAACAAAAGACACAACTCAGCCAAAAAAAAAAAAAGTATTTTGGAAAAGAGAGAATGAATCAGAGCAGAATGAATCTCCTGGAACTCAAAGCTGTCCCAGCCTTTATTAACCACCCTCCGGGAACAGAGAAGAGGCACGTGCCTGGGGAGGGCCCGGCACCCCCACTGGAAAGTGCCAGACACCCCTCTGCAAGCCGACGTGACCCCCAGAGTTCAGGCTCCAGGCTTCTCCAGCCTTTGTGACAGATGAAACCTTCTTAAAGATGGATTCAGAAATGTCTTAAAATCATAACAGTGTTTGCGTCACATTATTGAAAGTCCAGCACGTGGACGTTGGCTCAGGTCCCTGCAGGGTCTCAGTGAACCAGCCTGGACCCTCTGGGCGAGCTCTGGCCTCCTTGGTTGGCTGCCCAGGTCGGTACCGGGCAGTTCTCTTCGGTCTCTCACATCAGCCAAGCGTGTCCGGGGTGACCCCTGCTGGTAACCGCAGCCCCTGGTCAGGGTGCCCTCTCCTGTCCTGTCGTGAACGACTCCCTGCTTGCTTTTTAAAAACTTCTTTCCTGCTCGAAGTAGAGTTCACTTTAATTTGCTTGGACTGCCTCTACCGAAAAGGTTTCTAGTCTCACAAATTGGTGGGGCCCCAAGTAGTAAGGCTTGGGTAGAAGCGACAGGGGACAGAATGGGGACCTTAAAAGGAGAGCTCTGGTCACGGCGGCCACGGGGCTCACTCTGTCGGCAGAGGTCAGCACTGTTGGACTTCAGGTTCTAGAAGCTTTGTTGTCTTTCAGATGTTCTCTCAACCATGTGATTGTGTGGTCTCAATAGGCAAAAAAAAAAAAAAAACCCACTAATAATGTGAATGGTTTTGAGCTTTAGGAAGAGTTTCAGGTTAATTTTAAGGTGCCAGCTAACTGGGGTGCCTCCAGGCCAGCTCCCCAAAGCTGCTCAGCACTGTGCAGAGAGAGAACAGAGATGAGAACAGGAGTTCTGGGTGCCTCTCATCTGTCTGGTTAGTGAGGCCCCATCCACAGGGATTAGCCAAGCAGACAGCGGCTGACGCATGCACAGGCTCTTTCCATTGCTAATGTTTTAGCTGGTGTGTCTGGTTTTTGGCCGAAGGCGCTCCTCCTGGAGAGCTGGAGCAGGTTCTTTTTGGCTTGCTGTCTGGCAAGTGTCAGATGTGTGGGTGATACCACTCTAATGGCAGAAAGTGAAAATAAACTAAAGAGCCTCTTGATGAAGGTGGAAGACGAGAATTAAAAAGCTGGCTTGAAACTCAACATTTAAAAAACATGGGATCATGGCACTTGGTCCCATCACTTCGTGGCAAATAGAAGGGGAAAAATTGGAAGGAGTGACAGGTTTTATTTCTTGGCTCCAAAATCACTGCGGATGGTGACTGCAGCCATGAAATTAAAAGACACTTGCTCCTTGGAAAGAAAGCTATGACAATCCTTGACAGCGTGTTAAAAAGCAGAGACATCACTTTGCTGACAAAGGTCTGGATAGTCAAATCTATGGTTTTTCCAGTAGACATGTGTGGGTGTGAGAGTTGGATCATAAAGAAGGCTGAGAGGTGAAGAATTGATGCTTTCGAATTGTGGTGTTGGAGAAGACTCTTGAGAGCCCCTTGGACTGCAAGGAGATCCAACCAGTCAATCCTATAGGAAATCAACCCTGAATATTCATAGGAAGGACTGTTGCTGAACCTCTAATACTTTGACTGCCTGATGGGAAGAGCTGACTCATTGGAAAAGACCTTGATGCTCAGAAAGACTGAGGGCAAAAGGAGAACGGGATGACAGAAGACAAGACGGTTGGACGGCATCACTGAATCAATGGACATGAGTTTGAGCAAATTCCAGGAGATAGTGGAGGTCAGGGGAACCTGGTGTGCTGCTGGTGTGCCGCAGTCCAGGGGGTCGCCAGCATCTTAAAAGGCAGGGGGAACCTGACTTAGCAACTGACCAACAACAAGTGTCAGAAGTCCCCACCAAGGCTGACTTTATGGTATCCAAAGTTCCTTGGTACCCCCTCCAGACAGGGTGAGCACTGGGTCTCCTCCTGGGGAAGCTGGTCCCAGTGAGCTGGGGGAGCCCTGGGCTGGTTTGTTGGTTTCATCATCTTCTTGCTTGTTCTGAAACAGAGGGTAAGTGGACTGTCAGTTAAATGAGGAGGAATGCAGCTCTTTGAACATATACAAGTGGGGTTTCCCAGGTGGCTCAGTTGTAAAAGAACCCATCTTCCAGTGCAAGAGACTCGAGAGATACTGATTCAATCCCTGGGTCAGGAAGATCCCCTGGAGCAACCCCATCCAGTGTTCTTGCCTAGAGAATCCCATGGACAGAGGAGCCTGGCGGGCTATAGTCCATGGGTTTGCACAGTCAGACACAGCTGAGCATGCATGCACTCCCCCATGTGAGTGTCTACAGAAGTGCACACACACATGTTAAACACTCCTGTTTCCCCTGTAAGCCCAGGTCCCTCTTATCTGGAAAACTCACTCTGCCAGCTCCTCCTGGCTGTCCTGGTCATCCAGAGTTGACACCCCAGCCTCTTGGGCAGATGACGGCCACACCCATGTTGCCACTCAGTTGTGCTCACCCAGGATCCCGGCTCCTCCTCTGCCCTTGTGTTCACGGGGCAGAAGGAGCGTGTCCCCAGGACACAGATGGAGGCGGTGCCGCCCACCTCACCCGGTTACTGACCGGGCTTCTGTCACATTGCCCCTCAAATGGGCTGTGGGCTCAGCTGGGCTTTCCTGCCCCCACGTGGGTGTTCCTCACAAGGACCGCCCCTCTTCAGTGTGGTCCACGCCCCTGACCTTGCGTGAGCCCTAGCACAGTCATGGACCCGTTCTCGTCTCAGCTCCTGCAGCTTCTCGTCCATCTCCCCAGGGCCCTGGTGGAGCTGAGAGCCTCAGGGATTCTGTATAGAGGACCAGGCAGGTGTGGGGGCCACCCTGGATGGCAGAATTGTCCCTGCCTCCTGCCCGAGGCTGGTCCTCCCCTCGCCTCCCTGCCAGCCCCTCATTCCTCTTCTCTTATGGGAAAGGACGAGGGTTTCCGCTGCCCTTTGCTCTGTGTACAGTCTGGGGGCGGGGGTGGGACGCAAGGCGGGGAGCAGGGCTCCCCTGGGGGCTGTGTGTCTGTCCTGAGCACACGGGTATGCAGGGGTGGGTGGTGCAGGCGGCGGGTGTCGGGGCTCCTGCTGCAGTGAAAATGTCGCATCAGCCCTGTTACAGCTGAATCATTTCCATTCACGTGGTACAAACTCTCCTTTCTGGAGTCCCCGCTCCTGGGATGGGCAGGGCCCAGGGTAGGCTGGTAAAGCAGCACTTCCCCCCTTGGTGGATCACCCACCACCCCTGCCCTGATCCACCAGAGGCAGAGGCTCGGGAGGTGAAGTCCTCATCACAGGGGTGGCTGAGATGCAAGTAGCCTGGTCCTCTGTTGTCTTTGCAAGTGTGAGGCCCCATGGGGACAGAAGAGGGGACCAGGAGGGCACCTTGAGGCACCCAAGATCTTGGAGGGAAGACCGGCACTCATGAGCCTGGAGACCTTTGTGGACAGTCAGGGGTCAGGGATGGGCAGCAGGTAGAGGGCAGACCCTGCAGGACTGGGTAGAATTGAGGGCAGGTTTGTGGGGACCACGTGGAGCATCACCACCTAAAGAGAGAGCTACAGGTGGAAGGACTTTGCAGACCGAGGGACCAGCCATGGGTTGAAACATTGGGTGTGTTCACTTGGCCCAGGGTCAGGCCTTGGTTTCGGGGAGAATGGAAGGGCTAACAGGGAGCAGTGACGCGACACAGAGTGGTCCGGGTTCTAACGCCCCTCCTTCGTCTCCACCCCTCCACCCAGGTGGTCAAGTACCCCTTGCACGTCATCATGGAGCTCAAGGAGTACCTGATCGACCTGGCGTCCCGGGCGGGTGTGCACTGGCTGTCCACCCTCGTGCCCACCCACCACATCAACGCCCTGGTCTTCTTCTTCATCATCAGCAACCTCACCATCGACTTCTTTGCCTTCTTTGTGCCCCTGGTCGTCTTCTACCTGTCCTTCGTCTCCATGGTCATCTGCACCCTCAAGGTTTTCCAGGACAGCAAGGCCTGGGAGAGCTTCCGCGCGCTCACCAGCCTGCTCCTGCGCTTCGAACCCAACCTGGACGTGGAGCAGGCCGAGGGGAACTTCGGCTGGAACCACCTGGAGCCCTACGTCCACTTCCTGCTGTCCGTCTTCTTCGTCATCTTCTCCTTCCCCATCGCCAGCAAGGACTACATGCCCTGCTCGGAGCTGGCCGTCGTGTCGGTCTTCTTCACAGTCACCAGCTACATGAGCCTGAGCACCTCGGCCGAGCCCTACACCAGGAGAGCCCTGCTGACCGAGGTGGCGGCCGGCCTGCTCTCCCTGCTGCCCACCGTGCCCATCGACTGGCGCTACTTGAAGCTCCTGGGCCAGACCTTCTTCACGGTGCCTGTGGGCCACTTGGTCGTGCTAAACGTGAGCGTGCCCTGCCTGTTGTATGTCTACCTGCTCTATCTGTTCCTCCGCATGGCCCAGCTGAGGAACTTCAAAGGCACCTACTGCTACCTGGTCCCTTACCTGGTCTGTTTCATGTGGTGCGAGCTGTCGGTGGTCCTCCTGCTCGAGTCCACCGGCCTGGGGCTGGTGCGGGCCTCCGTGGGCTACTTCCTCTTCCTCTTCGCTCTCCCCATCCTGGTGTTCGGCCTGGCGCTGATGGGCGTGGTGCAGCTGGCCCGCTGGTTCGTGTCCCTGGAGCTCACCAAGATCGCCGTCACCCTGGCGCTCTGCAGCGTCCCCCTGCTGGTCCGCTGGTGGACCAAGGCCAACTTCTCGGTGGTGGGGATGGTCAGGTCCCTGACGCGGAGCTCCGTGGTCAAGCTCATCCTGGTGTGGCTCACGGCCATCGTGCTCTTCTGCTGGTTCTACCTGTACCGCTCGGAGGGCATGAAGGTCTACAACTCCACGCTGACCTGGCCGCAGTACGGCTTCCTGTGCGGGCCGCGGGCCTGGAAGGAGACCAACATGGCCCGCACCCAGATCCTTTGCAGCCACCTGGAGGGCCACCGGGTCACGTGGACCGGCCGCTTCAAGTACGTGCGCGTGACCGAGATCGACAACAGCGCCGAGTCGGCCGTCCACGTGCTGCCGCTCTTCCTGGGCGACTGGCTGCGCTGCCTCTACGGCGAGGCCTACCCGTCCTGTAGCCCCGGCAACGTCTCCACGGCCGAGGAGGAGCTCTGCCGCCTCAAGCTCCTGGCCAAGCACCCGTGCCACATGAAGAGGTTCGACCGCTACAAGTTCGAGATCACGGTGGGCATGCCCTACAGCAGTGCCAACGGCACGCGCGGGCCCGAAGAGGACGACGTCACCAAGGACATCGTGCTGCGGGCCAGCAGCGAGTTCAAGGACGTGCTCCTTCACCTGCGCCAGGGCAGCGTCATCGAGTTCAGCACCGTCCTGGAGGGCCGCCTGGGCAGCAAGTGGCCTGTCTTCGAGCTCAAGGCCATCAGCTGCCTCAACTGCATGGCGCAGCTGGCGCCCGCCCGGCGGCACGTGAAGGTGGAGCGGGACTGGCGGAGCACCGCGCACGGGGCCGTCAAGTTCGCCTTCGACTTCTTCTTCTTCCCCTTCCTGTCGGCGGCCTGAGGACGTGTCCCCTGCAGGGGCAGAAGTTGCGCGTGGCTGCCAGGATCTCTCCCTTGTGCACACCACCCCCCCCAAGCTGGATGGCGCAACACTCATCTGTGTGTGTCTGTGTGTGTGTGTGTGTGTGTGTGTGTGCGTGTGCAAACACAGGGCTTCGGAGACCCTCAGTCGCTCGCAGTCAGCTCACACTTCCGCGAACGGGCTGACCGCTGTAGCTCTGTCCACCCTGAGCACCCGGCGTGGTTGGAAATTGCATGCACAGCCTCCACCCGTAGCCCCAACCTGTCCTCGTGCAGCTGGTGTGTCAGCCAGACTAGGATTCCGGCGCCCGGAAAGCACTTTATAGACACTTGTTGTCCCTCCTGCACCGCCTCCACGCACGCCCCCAGCCCCTCACTTACTTCCGTTTGAGTTTGCTATTTGAGGAACCAGTAGTGCTGCTGTGTGACTTGATAGCCTTTCTTATTTATTTGATCGCTGCTAAGCCTTGACAGCTGTTCTCTGAGCCCGGGGGCCTGCAGAGATGCTCTGTCACGTGGCCGGGGCCCTGCCTGATTCTGAGATGGAGGCCACGTGGGCAGAAGCCCTGAGCTCTGCATGTCACAGCCTGCGTGCCTCGAGGCTCTCCTGTCTGGTGGGTAGAGGGTGAGTTTTTCAGGGTCTTGCCTGAATCCACAGGGACCATCCCTGGGTAGATGCAGATTTGATCCCTGGACTAGGAAGACCCCCTGGAGAAGGAAGTGGCTTGGCACTCCAGTATTCTTGCCTGGAGTATCCCATGGACAGAGGACCCTGGTGGGCTACAGTCCATGGGTTCGCAGAGAGTTGGAAATCATGGAATCTGGATTGCAAACCCTTCCCAGTGCTCAGAAAAGCTAGACCGTGTTCAGAGCCAGAAAGCAGACAGTCAAGGTCCTGAAGCAACCGAAATAAAAGCCTTTGATGAAATTTGCTGTCCTTTAAGTCGTTTTTTTAAGCACATGCTAGAGAGTCAGCAGGTGTCTACACTTGCACTCAATTACGTACAAGTACAGTTTGAATTACAAAGAGCAGAAGTCTCAATAAGCAGCCCCAGCCCCACTTGGCCAGGGACCCCACCACCCAGCTGTCCACTCAGGCCTTACTAGGTGTGAAATGCACATGGTTACAATGATTTGAGAAACTCAAAACACTGCCGAGAGGGTTCATACATGGTTGTTCGTGACTCAGTAGCTGCCGCCTTGTTCGGGAGTGTGTTGTTTGAAACCATATCCTGTGTTCAGAGATGAATGATGATAATCCCATAGCATTATCATCGGAACTTGAGCCATGTGGGCGGGGGGAGCGGCTAGAGCAGCTCGGGGTCCCTCAGAAACCTTAGCGCCCTGGGTGGGGGTGCCTGTCTGTCCGGGTCCCTTGGGCAGGAGGAAGTGTCTGCCTGGGTCCCTCTAGTCCCTGGCAACCTCCCCTGCCCCCTAGTGGGCCGTGCCCCCACCCAGTGAGCAGCAGGTCCAGTTCGTTGTGTGGTCAGGAAACCTGCAGTTGTTCACACATGCATCTGTGGTCAGGAGTTGGTTCAGGGAGCGGCTGCCTCCGTTCTGAAGACGCATCTCAGCATGGTGATCGGCAGGTGTGTCCTTGTACAGCCAACCCTTCCTATTTTGTCCTCCAGCATGGTCAGGCCTGCCTGAGATCCCACGTGTTGGGAGGTGCTCAGGGGGGCAGTGGCCCTCTGAGCTGTGTGTTTGCTCCCAGTTTTCTTTGCAGGCAGTGAGATGAGGTTAAAGGTCAGCCCCACCCCTCTTCTGATCTGGAGGTTTGCGAGGCCCTGAAATGAGTTCATAGTTCAGCTTTGCCTCCCAGACTCCTCACGGATGGTCCAGTCGGGGAGAGCGGGGCAGGCGGAGCTGCCTGGTTTTCTGAGTGAATGCAGATGACCTCATCTCATCCTCCCTGGGCTGGGGAAGTCCTGTGACAACACTGATCCACAGAAAACAGGTTCGGGAGAGGAGGTCACACTGAACAACGGGGTCAGAATTAGACCGTGGTCCCCTGGGCCACGCTGTTACTCTGCTCCCCAGCAGAGCTGCCCCCTAGGAGCAGAAGGTGGTGTGGTCTCATGGTGGGGATTGCCCTGAATCGGCCGTTCAGCCCCTGTCCGCAGGTTCCAGCGTCCTGATCTATAAAATGGTGTCTGGGTTAGGTCAGTGGTTTGTAAAATTACTGGGTTGGCCAAAATATTCACTTGGGATTTTCCATAGGAGGGTACAGAAAAACCTGGACAGACTTTTTGGTCAACCCAATATCTAGCAATGAAACCCTTTTTTAAAAGTTAGATGTACAGAACTCCAAGTGAAAACAGTGTTACATTTGTAAGTTTTGGTGTAACCCCATGGAATATTACTCAGCCATTAAAAAGAATTCATTTGAATCAGTTCTAATGAGATGGATGAAACTGGAGCCCATTATACAGAGCGAAGTAAGCCAGAAAGATAAAGACCATTACAGTATACTAACACATATATATGGAATTTAGAAAGATGGTAACGATAACCCTATATGCAAAACAGAAAAAGAGATACAGGTGTATAGAACAGACTTGTGGACTCTGGGAGAAGGCGAGGGTGGGATGTTTCAAGAGAACAGCATCGAAACATGTATATTATCTAGGGTGAAACAGATCACCAGCCCAGGTTGGGTGCATGAGACAAGTGCTCGGGCCGGGTGCACTGGGAAGACCCAGAGGGATCGGGTGGAGAGGGAGGTGGGAGAGGGGACCGGGATGGGGAATACATGTAAATCCATGGCTAATTCATTTCAATGTATGACAAAAACCACTGCAATGATGTAAAGTAATTAGCCTCCAACTAATAAAAATAAATGAAAAAAATAAAAAATAAAAAAAGAAGAAAAAAAAAAAAAAAGTTTTGGTGTAACTTACATAGCAGACAAGAAAAGAGGCCACCCGGCTGGTTCGAACCCCTTGTCCCAGCTGTGTGACCTCAGACAGTTTCACCCTTTCCAGGCCTCCAGTGCCTCTTCTATGACTTGGGAATGTAAGAGGGCTGGCCTCTGGTTGTTTTTACGGACTAGGCTAGTTAATTTTATTGCAGGGTGGTCACAATAGTGTCAGGCACTAGTAAATACTCATTTGTGAATGTTTTAAACATAGTTAAACATTGATGGGACTTCAGAACAGATTATGAACCTTATACAGGCCTTTGGGCTTCTCAGGTGGCTCAGAGGTAAAGAATCCACTTGCAATGCACGAGTTGCGGGTTCAATCCTGGAGATGTGAGTTCAACCCCAGGTCCATCCCCTGGAGAAGGAAATGGCAGCCCACTCCAGTATTCTTGCCTGGAAAGTTCCATGGACAGAGGAGCCTGGCAGGCTACAGTCCATGGGGTTGCCAAAGAGTCAGATATGACTGAGCTCACACATAGACACGTATAAGCCCTCACCAGAAGAATGTCCCTTCCAGCTTTTTAAAAACTTAACCTTTATGAAAATAATTCATGTTTAGCTGAACAGAACTTAATGGAGTGGCTGAATCCCAACAGGAGCCTGGTGTTGGATGGGGCTCTGTCTATACCCCCTCCCCCAACACCACACCCCCTGGGACTCACCGTCCCGCCTTTCTCTCTGCCTCACGACTTCAATTCCTCATGACTACACATCCAGAAAAGGTTGGCTGGTACGTGTGGCTTATGATCTCAAACATTCCTTATTTAACCTAACTAATGAGCTTTGGATGCGTCGCTGCCGCCCTCGAACAAATATTTATGGCACTGTGATGCTGAGCAGATGTGGTAATTCCACAGTTTGAGTCAAACCCAAGTCCCACCCTCGGGAAAATCACCCAAGTCAGATGTGAGTGGGCCCCTGATTCAGTTAGAAGTGCCTCCCTTCCTTCACACACAGGAAGTGCTGTGGGGGCCCAGAGAGGGTGGAACTCCAGCCTAGGGTGGGAGACGGGGCTGTGGGGTCTGCCCTGTTTTGATAAGAAGGGGAAGGGTTGGATTCGGCGAGGTCAGAGGAAGACTGTTCAACCTTCAGGGCACTCATCAGGGCCTCAGGCATCACCCTGGACGCCGGGGGTCCCAGAGGATAAAGCCTGGGGTCCAAAGGCCAGGGTGGGATTGAGTCTTGGTCCTGGAGGCAGCTGCAGCCCCTCTCTTGGCTCTGAAGCTAGGGTCTTGGTATAAGGTCAGGGCTGAACTCAGGAAAATGGACCTGAGGGCCCTTTCAGGTACAGTGTGGAGGAGGAAAGGGACAGTGGAAACCACCCCCAGTTCCCCAGCAGACCTGGCTGGCTGGCCCTTCAGAGGCAGATGCTGCTTCTTTGGACAGTTTCCATGGGACCGTAAACATCAGAAGGCCCTTGGCCCCTGTGGTCCTGAGAATCCCTGGCCTGTTCACCATCCTTCTTTCCTGTTGATAAACAGGCTGCTGCCTGCAGGGCCCAGGACCAGATGGTAGACACATGGAGGGATTTACAGAGGTCAGGCTGTTGGGAGCAAAGGCTCCTGCTGCAAGGAGGACCTAGGTCTCTGAGCATCACTATGGGTCTGGCACTTTGTGAGGCTGTTTGGTCCTGGGAACCAGGTCCCATGACCTGCCACCTGACCTCCCAAACATATACACATGAAAATTAAAGGTTCATGTTTGTGTTGTATGGACTTGGTCAAAGTCACATGGCTAGGAGGTAGCAGAGCTGGACAGAACCAAAGCCTGTTCTTTTTACAGAGCCGTGAAGAAACCACCATTTACCTGGGCCATAAAATCCCTCTTCAGAACAGAGGGGTCACCCTTAGACCTGCCAGGAAAGAACTGTGCTGACTGCAGGGGCCACCAGCAGATTACCCCATGTCTGAGCACCCACAGGGGCCTTCACCATCTCTGTGTCTGCAATGTGGTGGGGTGGGGAGTGGGGTCTCATGATCTACCATGAAACCATCACAGCCTTTGTGCTTCACAGGGAAGACGCAGTTGAGGCCTGGAGAGGGTTTGGTACCAGTTTCCCATACAGTGCGGTGAGACCACCAAATGCCAGAACTTGGAGGGGCATCTTTCATGGAACCTTCCCTATCCATCTTCTCTGGGGGTGCAGAGCAGTATCAGAAAGACTGCCCTCAAAAAACATAAAAATTAAAAAATAAAGAAAGACTGCCCTCCTTTTGTGGACATGCCTCTAAAGACCAATTCTTCAGGACTTCCCTGGTGGTCCAGTGGTTAAGAATTCGCCTTCCAATGCAGGGGAACACAGGTTTGATCCCTGGTCTGGAGACTAAGATCCCACATGAAAAAGTTAAAGAAACAGTGAAAGTCCTTAGTCGTGTCCGACTCTTTGCAACCCCATGGACTGTAGCCCGCCAGGCCCCTCTGTCCATGGGGATTCTCCAGGCAAGAATACTGTGCTGCTGTCCAAATTAAGCCTGTGCCCGCAACTACTGACCCTGCGCGCTCTAGAGCCCACTCACCACAGCATGGAAAGCCTGTGTTCCACAACGAAGATCCCGTGCAGCCAAAAAAAAAAAAAAAGACCAATTCTTCAACATTCACGTATTCAAAGGCTCTTTTCTTTTTTTTTTTCATTTCCATTCCTGTATCCTGATCACATCTCATGCAACTGCAAAAACTCAAATTTCTCCAAGTACCTATTTCAAAGTTGTCCATAAAGCAGGACCTTGTCTTTCCTGAATGTGCTGTGAGACAACAGAATCCTTTAAGCCTCCCAATTCCCGATCTGCACGGCTGGGTATCAGGGTTGAAGCCACGCCAGCCTGCTGTGAGCACATGAACCACTCTGTGAAGCTCTGGGAGAGCGCACTTGGGCTGACTGGGTCTCCACCTGGGGACCGATGCCGCTCAGTCATCATGAAAAGAAGAGAGTGTTCATTTGTTCAACAAATTGGTGAAGAGCAGTTTGAAGTTCTTCTGTTGTTGAAGCTGACTACTGCTGCTACTGCTAAGTCGCTTCAGTCGTGTCCAACTCTGTGTGACCCCATAGGCGGCAGCCCTCCAGGCTCCCCAGTCCCTGGGAATTCTCCAGGCAAGAACACTGGAGTGGGTTGCCATTTCCTTCTCCAATGCATGCAAGTGAAAAATGAAAGTGAAGTTGCCCAGTCGTGTCTGACTCTTCGCGACC